TGTGCAACTAGTATTTGCCTTGCTGGAAATGTAAATATATGTACAAAATTTACTTTTACGCATGAGAACATTTCGAATATTCCATATCTTAGGATAGGAAATACTAGTTGCGCAGTCAACTAATCTTGTTGATAACTTTGATCGTGGAAAGTTTGAAGTCAAAAGTCGATTTTTCACATAACTACAGTTTATTTGTTGAAAAACTCAATAAAATTTCAATGTTTTAAAAACAAAGACCCGTAAAACCGAACCGTTCTAGAATTTTCTATTATTAATCAAATAAACATCGCCTCGATTGAAAAGTAATTTGACACCTGGAGAAGATGTCCTATATGTATACACATATGTTTTTCTTTTCTTTTATTGTATTTTTAGATTGATTTCAATGCAGATGATCTTCCATCAATATTATATAATGGACATGATCAACAAATTTATAATGAATTTACTCGTTCAAATACATTGAGAAGTACAAATAGTGAATGTAGTCATCCAAATGGTATAGCAACTATATATGCACCTAGTAGTCATATTAGTAGAACACAGACATTAATGAGAATATCAGGAATAAAAGCAAGAAAAAGTAATGGTGCAACTAGTACAATAAGAAAATTCTTTGGAAATTCAACACAAAAAAAAGTAATTGATTTATAGTTTTAATTATATATATACATATATGTTTTAAAATTTTTCGCTTATAGATAGAAAAGAATGATTGAAAAGTGTCGCGTTAGATTTTCCTGTTTTTTTTTATGCTTGTAAAATTGAAAGAGAAAAAGAAAATGATGAATATCTAATATTTTTGATTTATACATATGTTTTATAATATTTATTTGTTGTTATTTAGCTTTCAAATACTGCTAATAATGGTATGGCAATGGTTAATGCACCATTTAGTTCTTTACCACCTGCTCAACGTATGCGAAAATTTCAAGAACAAATTCTTAATTGTAAAAATGAATTAGAAAAAAAACAAAAAGCCAAGTAATATAAATATTTCGAAAAAAAAAATCAACGAACAAACGAAACAAATTTTATTTTTATTCAAAAAAAAAATACATATATATCTATATATTCTAGAGAAGGTTTAACAAAAATGAAAATTGTTTTTCAAGAAAATCCTAAATTTGGTGATGAACAAAATGTTACACAACAAATTATGACGCTTGATGAAAATATTGAAAAATTATTAGCTGAAATAAAAAGATTTGAGGTAAGAAAAAGGACGAGAGGTGTATAAGACTACAAATCGGTCTACTAAGAATTTCTACATAAAAACTACTCAATTACTAGTAAAAATTCGTTTAGTGACGTTTCCAGGGGAAACAGAAATGACTTGAATCACTACATGACACACATAATATTTACAGTAAAATAAGTTTTACTCATTGATTAAAATGAAACCATTAGAGTGTACGAGTTTATGTTATTCGAGATCGGGTATACATCATTAGAAAGAGTGTAAAAAACTGCACAAATATAAATATGAACCACGAAAGCATCACGTTTCAGTGAGAAGTGACCTTTGGTCATTTTTAAGTCATATTGTCGCCGATAATGCATTCGATCTTTCTCTCTTGCTCTTCAATTTTAAACACTTTTGTTTATATATCAATCAATAGTCCTTTTGAAGTTCTACAAAATGACGCCATTGTGTGGAAATGAATTTCGAGGAAAGATGTTCAATATAAGTACACGATGTTTGCAGATACCAAAAAAAAACGGCACTTTTTGACTCAATTCTGGTTCATTTTGATTATAATGACTTGACTGTTAAATACAAAAATGATAAATTTAGAATCCAAACAAAAAACTGAATTGATCTATGTATTTTTCAAACCACACTGACAACTTTCATTTTCATCGAAAAATTCAACCCTAGTCCTCCACAGGAATCTCTCGGTTGAGTTTTATTTAGGTTTTGAAAGTTTACAGGTCATTTTTCATAGTCAATTTTACGTTTTAATGGCCTTCATTTCTTTGACAGATTCCTGTAGGGGACTAAGGCCGAATTTTTCGATGAAAATGAAAGTAGTTAAAATACTTTGAAAAACATATAAATCGACTCAGTTTTTCGTTCTGATTCCAAATATGTCATTTTTATGATTAACAGTCAAATCATCCTAATCAAAATGGACTAGAATTGAGTCAAAAAGTGCTGTTTGTTTTTTGGTACCCTTAAACATTGTGTACATTGATTCAATGTCCTCTCCTGAAATTCATTTTCACACAATAGTGTCATTTTGTATAGCTTCAAAATGGCTATCGATTGGTGTATGAGCGAAAGTATTTTAAATAGAAAATAAGAGAGAAAGATCAACTGCACTATCGACAATAATCAATTCACCACCCATCTTTGGCAAACTATATAACTAACAGATAGCCAAAAATATTTCTGAAAGAGACGTAATATTTTCATCGTTCATATATAAATTTATGCAGTTTTATGCACTCTTTCTAATGATGTATATTCGATTTCGAATAACATAAATTAGTACAGTCTAATAGGTTCATTTCAGTCAATGAGTAAAACTTATTTTATTGTGAGTTTTATAGGTGTGAATAATTTTTATGTAGAAATACCTAGTGGGTCAGTTCGTGATCTTATGCATGTCCATCTTTATGATGAAAAATTAAATTAAGTATTTTTGCATTCATTATTTCTAGGCTTATATATCAGAAATTGAACGAGCACGAATATCAACACCATCGGATATTGATCTATCTTTACATTCACATCCTATTTATGATTCTGATCAATCTACAAGTAATCATAATCATAGTTCATCATCACAAAATCGAAGGTAAAAAGAAAAGAAAAATCATATTATTCAAATACTTTTGTGTGTAGTTCACTTTATTTTCGTCAACATGCTCGTAAATTTATGAATATCAATCGACGTTGGTCGACTACGGTTTGGTTAGAAAAAAAAATTTTTCTTTTCTGCTTTATTATTTTTCAAACGCATCTCTCATCAGATATAAAAGCATGTAGAAAAAATAAACAAAAAAAAAAAAAATTCACATACATAAAATTCTTCTTATATAATTTCTTTTCTTTTTAATAGATTATTTCAATGCTAATCTTTTTTTTCTATTTTATTAATGAAATTATTTATTTTTAGTCCACCTGATATTCCTGAAGATAATATCTATGATCAACCGAATGAATTTCATTGTTTACCATCAATAACATCAATGACAGTAAATCAATCAGATACAACAGTACATGATGGAAATGGTTCATTTGAAGATGAAGATAATGATGTTGATCAAACCGAAAGTTCATATCATGAACCATTAAATCAAGAAAATCATATTAAAGCATGTGTACTTTATGATTTTAATGGTAAGAGGAAAACAAAAATCAACAATTTGTTTTTTTGTATTCAGAAAGATTTCCCAATCAAAAAAAAAATGAAAAGTAAAAGTTTCTTATCATAGTTTAAAACACATTAATAATACACAGACCTCAACGGGAATAGTTTATTTTGAAAGTTTCAGATCTTCTCGTTGTTCCTAACTAAAGATTAGAGATGTACAGAGAATAAACTTTTTTCGTATGCTGTATCTTGATTGAGAAAAATTTTCTTATCCTTATTCTACAGGATAGGGTAACCTTGTACATTTCTACAGACGAAATATATATGGCAGAGACATTCGTATTTCATAATAGGAGTAAATCAAAAGACTTGGAACTTTCATAATAAACTATTCTTATTGAGATCTGTCACTTTCTAAAATTTCAATTCAATATTCGAAAATCAGTTTTCCAAGTGTTCCTTGAGAGGTACCACAGCATTGAACCTAAAAATGCAATATCTTCGTAGTAATAAGCTAAGGAGTCGAACTTGGTTCAGAGTATTCATAGCTCATTAACATTAGCATGATGCACATAGTCCAGACTCATAAGTGATTTATCACTTGAGAGACTTCCGTCCTAAATCAGTTTATGTGAAACTCTATTACATTCAAATCTAAACTTGAAAGAAATTTCTTTTATTTTTTAATTGTATATACAAGGCTGATATATACATAAAAATAAACAAAAAAAAAACAACTGTTGTTTGATATTAGATAAAAATTAGTTTTGTATTTATTGTACACAAAACTAGAGAAAAACAATATCAAAAACTTCAATGTTCTTCCGAAACAAAAATTGATTGATTTCAACTAATTAAATAACGCATAGATTCTTACTCTCTCAAATGACTTAAACATTTTAGAATAGAACAAAAACAAAAAAATTATTAATATATCAATTAGAAATTAATTTATTCTTATTAAGGTCATGGTATCAATGGTTGTCAATATATAAATGCTGCATCAATAAATGTTGGTGAAAATATTGAAATATTAGAAGATGATCGTGGTGATGGTTGGACACGTATAAAAAAATCTGATGGTTCAGCGGGTTTTGTTCCATCATCATATATTCGTATTGATTCTCAAATACTTTCAACATCATCATCATTACAGATGGAATCCGGCCGTTTCTAAATATTGATATTTATTTCTTCTTTTATATTTATCGTTTTTATTACACACATATTCTTTACAATCTATGCCAGTCGTTTAAGACAACAAGCTTAATAGATATTAATCATTATATGTAAACTTATTGCCTGTTTTACTAGTCAATTATGAAAAAACAAAGAAACAAAATTTATTTATTATAAACAGGCTGTCAGATATATTATAGAATGAATGAATGAATGAATGAACTATTGCATTTTTTTTCTTGAATAGGTTTACTGATATTTATATAAACTATATATCTTTTCTTTTTTTTTTCTTTTTTTGCCTACCTCAAATGAACAGTAAAATGAAAAAGGACTAAACATAGTGTTTCGTTTTTTTTTGTTGTTGTTGTGTAACATCAGATAAGTATTAGATTTACATAAAAAAAAAAAACTTTTCTTTTTCTGTCTATAATTTCGCTTGAATAAAAAATAATAAATAATGAATTCTTTTCAGATTTCTTTTTATTTTCTTTATCAATGTTTAATTTCGATTCAACAACAATGAATAATACCAGTCTTTTTGGACAATCAACACCTGTAAATTTAAATCGAACAGAAAATAGTTTTTTATTTGGTAATACAAACACAACACCATTTTTATCATCAAATTTACGAGGTAAAAAAAAAAGAACAAGTTCTGGCTGGCCGATATCTACAACTTGAAAGAATGAGATTAGGGATATAACGATGATCACCGTGGAATGATGTACTGTCACCTTACTTTCGCCATTGGCGAACGTTCTATTGGCGAAATTTTGATCATCCGCACGGATAGAATAACGGTGAACACATGATAAAAATATAGTAATCTTACGAGAGAACCATGTGAACTGATGCTCGTTGTTTGAGCTTACAAGAACGCCTTGCCGAGACTAGCAAACATATAAAACGGTATACGAACACTTTTAGACTTGTGCTAGTCTTACAAAGGCATCCTTGTAGGCCGAATATCACTCGAGGTGGTTTCCCCTATATATTCGAATTCCTAGATTTCGAAAACCTTTAGCCTATTTTCATAAAATTCAACAATTTTCTTGAAATGGCCTCTTCAACCGAAATCAATCCAAGACTGCCACAGTTTTATCATTCGTACATGTTTAGACCAGTGCATCGTCGCCGTTGTATCCCTAGACGAGATCTAATATATAGGGACGTGCAGTTTTGGTGAAAATGCTAAAATATTGACATATCTATACAATATAAATATGTCATATAAATCAGTAAATACCGATCCATTGTGAGTTTTTGGTGAATAGTTTACTAAAACTGCACATCCCTGTTAAGATTATTTTATAAATGTGTCACGTCCTAATACTGCTCATTTCGAATTATGTCGAACTGAAAAACTGCTACATGCATCCTAGCGTAATATATATCTTATCGTATCAGTGAACATCATTATAGCTCGTGTAGAATTGATCTGTCTGAAAGCGATTGTAAATAACTGATGTTAGTTAAATATGTATTTGATAATCAGGAGTCTTTCGAGCGGAGAGATCCTCACAATCTTGAAAAATTTTCATTTTTCCTTCAGTATTTTGTTACTCCTTTTGCTTATCAGTTAATGAAAATACGATTAATTCCTATCGCCAAAACTCAGTCAACTTAATTGCAGGAATATATTTGTGTTTATTTTTAGGAGCAACTAATATTCATAAATCATCGCCACTTGAGACTACTACTTTTCCCAAATGTGGATCAATCATTGGACTGGATAAAGCTAATAAAAATACTATACAAACAGCAAACCATACAAAAACATCTAATGTATAAAAAAAACCAACCCTAACGAAAATCTATTAAATTAAGTTTTATTTTTTTTTACATTTAGGATTTTAGTTCAGATATTTATAAAGATAATCAAAAATATTCATCTACAAACTCAACAATAATATCACCAGGATTAAATTCATTTTTATTTGATAATAAATCATCTACAAAAACACCTATGGTATTAAATAATATCTTTGTTTTGTTTTTTCTTTTCTCTCAAATAATTTTATTTTCATTATTTAGACATTCTCATTTGGAGATAATCAACTTTCAACATCAACTTCTACACTGGGTAAATTTTTATATGATGTACTTTATTTCTTGTATGACTCATTCTTATATAGGTAATGCATCATCATTCTTGCCAACTATGACAACCACAAACACACCATTTGATTTTTCATTATCAAAATCAGTTATTACATCATCAAATAGTACTTCTCGTAAGTGTTATTACACAATTCAATATATATGTATATAAAGAAAGAAATTTTAATTCATTTTTTCTTTTTCTTTTTTTTTTAAATTTAATAGCTATTTTATTTTCAACAATGAATCAATCAACAACATCGTCCATTGATTTACAATCATTTCGAACAATGCTTAATACACAACCATTTAATAATGAATCGGCTTTTCTTGCAAGAAATAATAAAGTAAGTTATACGGAATTATTTACTTGAGTTTCTTAATAAATAATTAGAATTATTCAGAAACGAAAAAAGCAAAGATATTATATAAAAATATAATTTCATATATAAACTGTTTCTCATATAATTTCCTCTGTTATAATTAATATTCTATGCTAGAATAATAATAATAGACAGACAAAAGCATATGTAAAAACAGCTGGATACATATGAATGTCATAGGATAAAACCATTATCAACTATCTAGCTTGCCATCAAATTGCAAATCTGTTTCTTTTTTTTCTGCAACGGAATAAAACTTCTTTATCCTAAGTATTAATCGAATATCTGATTTCTATCACTTCATCAGATGTATTGATATATATATAATTGACTAATTCTTCTTCTTTTTTTTCTTGTCTTTTAGATAAATATTAATCTCGATGATGTTCGTCTTCGTCCAAAAACTAATCTATTTTCATCAGTTCTTACTAAGCCTACTGTTCTATCATCAATTAATTCTTTATCAGTACAGTCAAATATATCATTATCAAAATCAAATAAACGAAAATTAGTTGATTCATTTATTGATGATGATGATAATAATAATCTATTAATTATGGATGATGGTCCATGTTCAAATAATAAAATTTCTAAAATAAATATAAAACGTCCACGTATGCTTGATATGAATAAAATTCGTTCAATTGTTCTTGGAAATAATGAAACATTTTTAAATAAATCATCATCAACATTAGAAAATTTTCTTGGATGGAAAAAATTTCCTACATATGATGAATACATATCATCAAAAAAATCCGAACAACAATCATTCCGTTTACCAAAATTAACACATAAGGATTATTATACTCAACCAACAATTGATGAATTACATTCATATTTTAATGAACATGGTCAATGTTTTATTAAACAATTTACTATTGGTCGAAAACATTATGGTTCTGTTACATTTCAAGGTTTACATATGAATTTAGCTGGACTTGATCTTGATCGAATAGGTAAGTCAAATATAAAACAAAAACTATTAGCACAATCTCTATGAGTTTAAAATGTGAAACACGAAGTAGCTGTGTATCTATTAAACTTTGCGTTAAATGTCATATTACCACAATTTCTGTATTTTATGCGAAAATTATCGAGTAACAATCATTTCAATATTTGGTGTTATAACTTTGATAGTAAAATTAATTCTTTTTTTTTCTTTCTTCGTAAATAACAGAGTTGTCGAACATAGAATAGATAAAATATTAAGGAGTTTAAGAAAAGTAATGAATCCTCAGAGAGAGAGAAAATATTAAAGGTCATGCAAGAAGTTTTGAGCTCATTAATAGTGATAAAAAATGATATTACACTTTATGTGGGTGCATGCCGGAATCAAAAATTTTTCTGATCGAAATCATGAGCTTTGGGTCCCGTTCATTACTAACTTCAAATCTTCTTTTAGATCATATTTTACAAAATGTCTTAAGATGTAATTAATATTCATTGATTTTTTCTTTTTTAGTTGAAATTGGTCGTCGTCATGTAATAGTTTATCCAAATGAAGAAGATCGACCAGCCGAAGGCGAAGAATTAAATTGTCAAGCTATAATATCATTATTAGGTGTTTATCCAATTGATCGTACAATATTAAATAGTAATGAAGAAATTACTGATCCTGATCGATTAATTGATATGAATTATGGAAAATATTTAGAAGGAATAACAAAAAAATTTCAAGGACAATTTATTAATTATGATGTTTATACAGGAACATGGACATTTCAAGTCGAACATTTCTAATTAATTCATTTCATTTAAGAATTTATTTATTTATTTATTTTCTTTTTTTTTGACCTATGAACAAATTCTTGTTTATATACTTCCGATAAAGGTCTTTCCATTCGATACAGTAATTTTGTCTATTTATTGATATATATATATTTCTTTTGTGTTCTTAGAAAATGTCAAATTTATACAATTTTTTTTTTTTGTTCTTCTTATGCCAGATATTTTTCTTTTTTTTCTGTATTATTCTCTTTAATTAAATTAAATATTAAAAAAGAAAAACGTGATATACTAATTTAAAATTTATCAGAAAAAGATTCTTAATAATGTACAAATGGTATTGAATTTAGAAAATATCGAAATTTTAAATATTTTACGAGAAAAAAAAACATTGGAAAAATAAATATCCAAATGATCTTCTCAGGAAAAAGAAACCTTCTTTCTATTTATGAGTATATCTTATTTTATCAAATGTAATATAATATAAAAAATACATTAGACCCTAGAGATTTTCTTTCTTTATCTATATATTAATTATTCAATATCAAAAAATTGCAATTACATAGAACAAAAATCAACATTATGAAGAAGAATATGCTGATAGTCAATAGAAATACTATTTTGATATTAATTCAATTATCATATAATTCTTTTCTATTATTAAATTCATCAAAATTTCCAATATTCAATCAATAAGAATATATGTGTAAAAATTATAATATCATGAATATTTAATACAATGTTCGAAAAAAACAAAGTGAAAACTTTGTATTTTCTTTCATCTATATATTTAAATTCTGGTTACTAAGAAAAATTAAATAAACAAAAGAATAGAAAAACGACATCTATGAAATAATTTTTATATTGGTTTACATCTTGACAACTACGTGAATAGAGAATTAGATGCTACTGTTCTATATGATGATGTTTGTAGATACGAATGTGAATTGATTCTTTTGTATTTTGTTCATGTTTATATTTTTTATTGAATAATGTTTTGGTTTTTTGTTTAAATTTTTGTTATTATTAATTTTTTTTTTAGAGACATCAATGTAAAAGGATGTCTTTAAATTTAAATCTACAAGAAAATGATCCCTTCTATAAAAAACAACCTATTCGAACTCGTAAAAAACGTTTACAAGAATCATCACGTCTTGGACAAAAAAATTTTCATCCTGAACTTGAAGCATTACCATTATTAAAAGGTATTTATTAGATTTATATTTTTGTTTAATAAAAAGATAAAAAAAGAATTAAGAAAGTTTTTATCAATTAAAAATGATCTATTGAAATAAACAAAAAAGCTTTTCGTTTGTTTTTTTTTTGTTATTCTCTTCGAAATAGATTCTTTATTATTTAGAAACTTCTGTTGATCAACAAGAAAAATTATTTGCTGCTAAATTAAAACAGTGTTGTGTTATATTTGATTTTTCGGATTGTGTTAGTGATCTTAAAAGTAAAGAAATAAAACGTGCATGTCTCAATGAAATTGTTGATTATATAACGGTGACAAGAAATTGTTTAACGGAAAATATTTATCCAGAAGTGATAACAATGGTTTGTTTGTTTTTTTGAGTTATAAAAAACAAAACAAAAAAAATTTATTTTTGTTTTTTTTTTCAAAAAAAAAAAGGTATCAACGAATTTATTTCGTATTTTACCACCAATTGGTTCTGATACTATATCGGATGAAACAGGTGCTGAAGATGAAGAACCAACATTAGAAGCATCATGGCCACATACACAAATAGTTTATGAATTCTTTTTACGATTTTTAGAATCTATTGATTTTCAACCGAGTATAGCAAAAAAATATATCGATCAAAAATTTGTCTTACAAGTAAATTTAGTCAAGAACAAAATAAAAGAAAATGAAAAATTTGCTTTTCTTTTGTTTTAGTTACTTGAATTATTTGATAGTGAAGATCCACGTGAACGAGATTTTTTAAAAACAATTCTTCATCGTATTTATGGAAAATTTCTTGGTTTAAGAGCATTTATTCGAAAACAAATCAATAATATTTTTCTCAGGTATGAAAAAAGAAAATATTTGTACTTATTCTTATTAGATATAATAAAAATTAATATAAGAAAAGAGTTTTTTTTTTAACTTAGAAAATTAAAATTTATTTTTAGAAATTTCAATTTAATTTAATAAATTATGATAATCTGAGATTTTTTTTTTTTTTTTTTTTTTTTTTTTATTTTAATTTAAAAAATTATTATAATTTAAATTTTTTTTTTTTTTTTTTTTTTTTTTGTAATTCAAATATTCGGAACTAAGATATTGAAAAGTCATATTGACTTTTAAATGTTTTAGTTTTAATAGATGCAATAGTTATTTTGTACTGACTAACATTCATAATAGAATAATATGATTTGAATAATAAAATCTTATAGAAACCAAAACAGGAAATTCTTTGTAATGTCTATTAATGTACGAATCAATGCATTCGTATTATATGTTTTCTTATATAGAATACAACAAGTATCATTGTATGTAATCTTAATTTCTATAAAAAAAAAAAAAAATTTTTATTTCATTTTTCGGTAATTTTATTTTTCATATCACTAGGTTTTGTATTTCTATATATGATTGTTAAAGCTTATAATGAGCATATTTACTCTAAAAATTATTATTAAATATATAATTCTTGTCTATCAATGTATTCCATTTGTTTTTGTAGGTATATTTATGAACATGAACGATTTAATGGTATTGCTGAACTACTCGAAATACTTGGAAGGTATTTTTTTTTTGTGTTCTTAAGATTTATAAATAATCTTATCTTATATATATGTATACATATTTGTCTAGTATTATTAATGGCTTTGCTGTACCACTTAAAGAAGAACATAAAGTATTTCTTGGACGTGTACTTCTACCGTTACATAAAGCTCATTCATTAAGTTTATTCCATCCACAAGTAAAAATTAAAATAAATTATTATTATTATTATTTATTCTATTTATTTTCTAGTTAACTTATTGTATTGTACAATTTATTGAAAAAGATCCATCACTTGGTGAAACAATTATAAAAGGTTTACTTAGATTTTGGCCAAAAACATGCTCAACAAAAGAAGTATAAAATAATTATTTTCTTGTTTTGTTTTTTCTAATTATCAATAAATTTAGGTTTTATTTCTCAATGAACTTGAAGAAATTCTCGATATAATCGATGCACAAATATTTAAAAATGTTTGCATACCACTTTTTAAACAAATTTCACGATCTGCTACATCATCACATTTTCAAGTATGATTATTAACAATTTATTATTTCTTTTTGTTTTTTTTGATATAGAATTTAAAAGCAAATCAGGTATTGATTTAACTGAATAAAGGAAGGATATAAATCACATGGAACGAAAACGTTAACCCGCAACTCTATTTAAATAAACAAATTTCATATTGAAATTTTTTTCGAAATAGTAAATAATATATAAGATCTATGAAGGAGTCTTCTTCTTGTTTTTCTTTTCTTTAATAAAGTCCAAAGATATGTTCAAATTTGTAATAAGAGTTTTGACAACTTCCTTCATCAGGAAAGAATATCCATTGACAATCATACTGATTATTATCATAAGAATAAAAAACCAGAGAAAAGAAAAGTAGTAACATCATCTTTACAATCTATCTCTCATTATAATAAATATGATTCGTTCAATGATTATTATATGTTTTTGTTCCACCTTAAATTTCGACTTGGTGATTTTAAGCACGGTATATTCGATGAGTAGATATTATGCTTATAATCATTTCAGATCAAATCTAACAAAGAGAATTACTACTGTTTTGAACACTAAAAGACGACTGATTAGAATCAGAATTTTTCACTATTTCTGAATTGATGTTCGGATCTTCCTTCTAAAGTAAGATTGAACCACTATCAGTCACTATTGCAAAAAAGTCTAAAATTGTGTCTGTACAAAGCAAAATAGTAGTTTTGGTGTAGTCTGTACTTTATGTCTTGAAATAGGTTTAACCCAACATTCAGATAGAAGTCCACAGTAAAATGTTTTTAACTCCTGAACGTTACAAGTTAAAAATTTAGGTCTTACGTAGTTTTGTAGATCTTCGATTGACGATTCTGATGCACTTCTAAAATCGAAAATTCTCTATGGTGACTGCGCGCAGCATATTGGTTTGTCAAAACATCGATTAAAAACACACAATAAAACTTGCCGAAAAGTCTTTAATATATGATTTGATGCGCTTTTATCTCCTTTTTCTAACAGTGAAAATCGCAGATCCATATCTGCTTTCTATCGAAAGTTATTAGAAAAATGCCCACTGCTATTCGGTTTTGAAATAGATAATAGTTCCTATGAAAATCGGCATTAGTAAACAAAAAAAAAATCAATATTTCAAAATCCGATTTTAAACATGCAAAAGTCAATAGCACGCTTTATACAGGAAACTTTACTCTACAAAACTGAGCTATTAAAAAATTTTTTTTCTGCATTTTGAATTTTATAGGTTTCAATTGGAGATGCGCGAGACCAAGTTTGTTTTGGTCCCTGTCTCGGTAAATTTGGTCTAGTCCGCTAACTTCAATTTTTCGCTTCCTGGTTCTAATAATTTTAATGTTTCAGGTTCCAACGGTTTTAGTTTTTCAAGTTCTGATCCCAATGACTTTAGTTTTTCGGTTACCGATCTCGATGATTTAAATTTTTCGTGTTTCGGTTCCATTAATTTTAATATTTTTGATCCCGATCCCAGTAGTTTTAGTTTTTCGGATCTCAATGATTTCAAAATTTTCGGGTCTCGGTCCAATGAAAACTATTCCAGAATTTCTTCGTATCAGATTTAAAAGAATTCTTCAATACTCGGTTTTTGATTTATTTAGTTTGACGACTAGTACTTGTTTTTTTGATGCTATTATCTCTCTGCTGATTTATAGGATAACTCGCTTAAAACCATAGAATACCTAATTATAACCTTTAATTCTAGTTGGGATAGTTTTTCTGTGGTATTTTCTAGTTCGGAGACTAAAATAGTATTCTGTATAGATGCTATTTTGAACTGAATGTTTTGTAGTAAGACTTTTAGTATCAGTTAAATAGATTATTTCGATCTCTTTTTTTTTTTGAATAAAAATAAAAACAAAACTTTTTTTTTATGTTTAGGTAGCTGAAAGATCATTAGCTTTATGGTCAAATGAATATGTTGTGCAATTAATTGAAGATAATTTAGAACGAATCTTACCTATTCTTCTTCCACCATTATGTCGAATATCAAAAACACATTGGAATACAAATATAATAACATTAACATATAATTTATTAAAAAATTTAATGGATATTAATAAAAAATTATGTGATGATGTATTAAATACATTACGAGATGATGAACAAAAGTAAATTGAATTTACTAACAAAGACAAACAAAAAAAAAAAAAATTTTTTTTCTTATTCTTTTTTATTTTATTTTAAATAGATCTATGATTAAAGAACAAGATCGAATAAATTTTTGGAAACGACTCGAACAATTAAGTTTGGCTAACGAAAATGAATGATTTTTTTTTTCAAATATGCATGTTTTACTTGCTGTGCGTTTGTTTGTAGTCCTTGATTTTTTTTCCTGACTAAAACAATGCAAAAGTGTACCTTCTTTTTGTCCTCGTTGATTACGACGGTCTTTTTTTTTCTCTCTCTTCTTTTTACTCTTGTTTTTTTTTCTTTTTCTAAAAGCTTCACCTATATGACACATCATACACTTGTTATTCTTTGCAGAACGGATTTTGATAAAAAACAAACAAACAAACAAACATCCAAAAGTCATAAGATTTGTTGTACAAAAAGAAACGATTTAGTTATAGACTGTATTTATAAACGATAAGAACAACAACAATAAACTTTTATTATATTGATTAATTTTGTTTGTTTTTCTTTTTTTTTTTTTTTTTATAAACACATATAATGGAAATTGGACTCTAGTTGTAGATATGCATGCGGTGGGTATCAAGATAAGACTTACCCTCATATACTTGCCTTAATACCCTCAACTCTAGAAATATATGAGTATGAAGTTGGGTATCCATCTTGTTACATCATATTTAGTCAAAATCGTTAATTTAACGGTATATAGGTACTATGAATTCATTAAGTGAATATCGATACTCAAGTTACGAATATTATGACGTTCCTCTATTTGAATCAGTCGAGTAATAATATTAATTTATTATAGTATTACTCTCACTTAACGGAAAATATTTTTAATCATCTAAAACAAGTAACACGCGTCGTTACGACTCGTTTGATTCTTACCTGAATGTTTAACTCTTTCTATACGATACACTATTAAACAAACACAGTCAATACTAATCTCAAACGTATGTATGAGAGCACATGTGAGTGCGCACTGATGTTTACGAGAATTTGCGTATGCATGTCCATATGATTCTTCTATTCAACCAATCACATGAATACTTTGAATTCTCAGCCTGAAAAATATCTGATTGGACGAAAGTCAGAAATAGAAAACATCTGATTGGCTTAAAATATAGGATATAATAGTCATCATTGTGATTATTCAGACTAAACTTATGCCAATACATCTGAACACATGCATGCAAGATCATAAACTCATAATCTTTTTAATTCTTTTCTCTTGAGCTTTATTGTTCATGTTTGAAACATTTCAACGTTTTCTCATAAAATTTTTTGTGAATTCTCATTGATGATCGGATAACAATTATCGGTATAATGACGATTTTGTATTCAGTTAGGATCACCTGGGTTACGACTGATTGTTGATTGATTAATGTTGAAACACTTAGCTAATTTATATTGATCGCTATATGAGAAAAATTATTAACCGATGTTAACTAGGCATTTTGATTTTTGATTAAAAGTTTTGCTGGGCGATCATTTCTTGGTAAAAATTTGGTTTGTCTATATTTCAAAATAGTTATTCAATATATTATATAAATTTTTCTTTCAGCATCCTTATATTGAAAAGACATCGAGGTCGACATTTGTCCCATTACTTTCGTTTCACATAACATTTCTAAATTGAACATAGAATAAGAAGAATCTTTTCTGTATAGAAGATTATGTAGTTCCTTGACTTCTACGAAACTATTAAATACTTGAGTTATAATTAATTGAACTGATGAACACCCTTTTTTTTAGTTTTTGATGATCTCTTTTCACTTTTCTTTCGTTGGTGTAATTTATAACATAATTCGCTAAAAAAATCATAGAAAAATTAATCACAGTTTTTACTTCCGATTCGAACAAGGTTTTTGTTGTAGTTCCAGTCATCGGACTACGGACTCGTCTAGTCTCGAATCTTGGATTGATTAACTTATTAACTATTTTTAGCATAATTGAAAATAACAATACCAGGTTTTTTTTCCTCCTGAAAAACAACATAATTGCAAGAATACATACATTAGCTCGGATACTTTATCATTTATCATTGTCAATCATAAATGGGTTTTCATTAGCACTAATTCATATCAAGATAAACTATCATATATATCGGATGTTTCTACATGTTTACAACATAGTTTATTTTGCATATATTTTTGCACAAAAAAAAAGAAAACTTCATAAAAATTTATTAATGATGCGCCACTAAATTTTCTATAATAACCAAAGTATTAAAAAAAAAATCCTCGTTGATTTGTTCTAATTGATTGTAAAATATTTAAATAAATGAAAAGATATATAGGATGCTATATTTTATCATTACCGAAATGAAATAAATGCTCTAGGAATGATAAATTCATTACCGATATCAAGCTTATTAGTACAAAAACGCATTGTTCAATAAAAATAATACTGCCAAAAAATGATTGCCTTCATATTGGAAAATCGTTCAAAAGAATTCGAAATAGTCAAAAGATGATTGATCGTTTCGATAGAGAAATGGATTTTATTCAGAAGATTGGAAATCTACAATGTTTCATATATATTTTTTGTCTAATCTTCTCCAAAATTGATTAGAGAATTTATCAATCAGGAACATTTACTTTGTTTATTGTAGAGAATTTAAGGTCAAATTTTTATGAGTTACTTCTGCAGAAATAAATGCCACATAATGATATGATTTCTTGACAATTGATATGTTTGATCTATTCTCATTTAACACATTTGAAAGGCATCTCAATTCATAAAAAGATACTATTACTAACAGAAAGATAAGATGAATTAAAATGTACCGTTTTTATATTAGACTTCCTACTACAAGGTTTCTTAATATTTAAATATTTTTACAGTTCCATGATGATAGTAGTTGACAAGATCTTGACAATAGAACGAAATCTTTTCTGATGTTTTTTTTTAATGAAAATTTGAATTCAAAAGCAGTAGCTATTGAGATTTTATGAGAGTCGAGTAAAAGTAGCCTAGAAAAGTGAGCTCGAAATTTCAAGATGAAAAATCTTTAGTTTAGAACGAAATTAACTTCTAATACCTTACTAACTTTTCATGAGCATAATAAATTCATTCAACATAATCCGATGTTCTCATCGTACAATGAGAAAGTGTTAGCTCAATATTTAGAGGTCGAATTTTGACGACGACTAGAAATTTGTCAGTTGGAAATTTCCAAGTTCATATCTCTTGATCATTAAAATCCAGCAAAATATGCCAGCTTTAGTGTTCAAAAAATCAATAAAAAGACGATGAAAATCGCCTAATCTGGTTCCAAGTATGATCTTTTGACCTCCGTTCAAAGTTATTGCCATATTAATGAGTTTTCAGAAATTGAGTATAATATTGAGAGACACACCTAATAATCAAATATCAAACTGAAATATTGTTCAAATGTTTGTTTAATGATCCCTAGAAAATCCTAAAAGTTTCAGTCAAATAAAATGTTTTATTCTAGACTTTGAACTTTTACATACAATTAAAATTTCACAAGAAACTTAAGGAAATTAAGCTTACGTAAGAAATTCAATATTTCGAAAAGGAAATATTTAATTTGGTCAAAACTTTTAGAATCTTCTTAGAGTCATGAGAGATATATTTACATAAAATTTCAAATTGATTATTACTATTCTGACTGAGGTACATTTATGAGCAGAAAAAAGTCAATTCAAGACCTTCTCTCGTACGTCTAATATTGCAATATGATGTATTCTAAATATCAAACATGAGCAAATCTAATCGATGGCAAGTAGTTTTGTAATCAAATCTATAACTTAACAAACAATGCTAATATTTCGCATCACTTTCTATATGTATTTAATTCAAAATAAAGGTTAATCAGAATTATTTTAATATATCATTTAATTGAATAGAAAGAAACAAAAAAAAATGAAAATTAGAAGAAACTTTGAACAAGATAGAATGCACGAAGAGCTCTTTGGTGTAGTTGCTCCTTGTGATAATGTTGTTGTTATTGGCATAGGAAAAATAACATTACCATCATTTGGATTCGAACATATTGAATGATTTTGACGATTTATATTACAAGCTTGAAGAAAAAATATATGCGTTTGTCCATAAATATAATCTTCTGTCATATCATAGGAGAATTGATTTTTCGGTATGTTATCTATGATCGGTTGTTGATCAATAGTTAATCTATAATTATTAATTGGTCCAGCTGGTAATAAAGGAGGTGACCAAGATAATTTTAGACGTTTAGAATTTAGTATAATTGTAATATTGTGTGGTTTTGAAGGATGACCATAACCTGTTCGAATGTAGCGTGTTATTGTTTGAGTAGTTCCAATACAACTTATAGTAAATGAATATAAAGTATTTGGTTGAAGATCATCAATATCAACAGAGCCTATATTTGGCTTTTCAGATGAAAATTTCACAGGATAAATATCATTATCACTAGTAACATTAGCTTTTACTTGACATGTACAAGCTGATGATGGACAATCTGTTACATCAGTCCATAATCTTTAAATATTTAGTTGATAAAATAAAAGAATAACAAGAATTAACTCACTGAATTAAATTAGCAAAAATAGTAATTGGATCCGGAAGAAATTGTACATCTGCTTGAGCATCAAAATAGTTGATTTGTGTTGCATAAGTAATCGTAATGAATAAAACAAAAATAATTAATTGTCGTTGTTGCATGTTTTCTTGTGTTTGTTAGCAAAAAAAA